TTTGGAGTTTTAGAAAGCAGGCATTCTTTATTGCGGCACCGGGTGCAAGGTGGAATTTCTACAAATCAAACACACTTATGGCCAGATCACCATTACATTTATACACAGAAATTATAAGGTAGTACACTCCCAGTTACAATGATTGGTTAGTGATTTACATATAATTACATATCGGTTGTGTCATTCTCTTCTGTTACTACGCTTGCGCGGGGGAAGGGTCTTCACCTGGGCAAGGGTCTTCTTGACCCGTGGGTGTGTTTTTCAGTATTATAATGAAGGCAGTTCACTTCAGGCCACCTTAAAAGTAGGTTTTGTTGCCAAGTTGGCCAGCTAGAGATCTACCTGGCCAGGCTGTCAAATAACTCATCCCATACACAATAGAACCCAGGTGCTCTGGTTATGGTCTAGAGGGTCCAGAGAATAGGGACGTCAAGCGACACAGCCTCAGATAACAAGTAACGCAGCAACCCGTACGTAACGCTACCATAGAGGCTCACTTCTTGAAATCACGATGTTCTTATAGTTGATTATTTCACAACCAAACATAGAAAGATTCAGTAAAACTTAAGATAATCTTCCAACAGTAGCGTGGGTCTAACATTGCAAATAACTTCTTTTCGTAGTGCTTGACATATTAGCATGCAGAAAAAGGACAATGCACCAAACTAGTGCAAGAGAAGCACTACAGATACGCCTCAGGTTATTAGTATTCTAGGGAAACTATTAATAGGCAATAGATACAGGTGAATATGGGAAACTAAAAGGCTGCTAGCACCACAGTTGATTTTGAATTTACTGTTGGGTGAGATACATGTGACTGTAGCACCTCTTACTGTTTAGTGCATGCAAAGGCATGGATGGATTCCCTGACGCTTCTGAAATAATTAAAAAGTAGTAGTACTGGAGTATTTCGGGAGCTTGCGTACTTTTGCATGTAGCAGTCTTAAAATGTTGATAAGATCAGATGCCTTAAAAAGGGGGGAAAAACCTGATGAAGATAAAAAATGTCATGAATTTTAACTGTACCTCACTGATAAATGTTGAGAAGTAAATCCTTAAAAAAGGAAAAAGTTGAAAATTCTCATAAGGTATGACAGTGTGTGGGAGTAGTGAGAAGCTACAGGTTTTAATACATGAAATCAAAATGAGGTTTTAAGTAAGATTTTAAGACAATCAGTATTTGCCAATGTCTTGGTTTTCTCCCTGATAAATTGATGTCACTGTTTAAATTTTAAAGCCATAGTGGTGCCCCATAAAGGCTGGAAAACTCTTTTTAATGGTGAAAAAGAAGAATACCGAATTTAGGCGGTGTTTCTACGAACGGCAGTGTCCTTTCTTCTACTTACTGGAGCGAACTGACCTTTGACTGGAAGTTTGCCGACGAGCTGTGACTTTTTTGTACCCGCAGCCCGTACCAGCGCCTCGCACGCCCGTAGGTGCAGCTT